GTGCTTAACCGGATGATGTATGAAGCGGGCGCTGCGCAGCTTCGTAGAACTACATGGGCGAGAAAAGGGGTTAAGGTGTTGGCAAAGGAGAAAACCTTGAAGTAACTCGTTTGGCGCTCTCAAATGTATCCCGAGTAATCTAGGTTCTCCAGAAGTAGCGGCGTCGGCCTTTTTCCACTGAAAAACGAATCAAGAGAAAAAAAAATCATGTTCTCGCAAAACGTCTTCTTAGTTTTTCAAATCTTGCCCACGTATGTTGAATTAAGTAGAGCTGTTTGTTATACTGAATAACTTCCGCACGGTTAATTGGGATAAAAGGGTTGAAGAATACGACGGCGAAAAGCACACGTCTCAAGTGTCTAAAATGAATTTGATAGAAAATAGGCTTTTTGTAATATTCCTTTTTCAGCACATCCGTTCAAAGGATCCCTCGTTTAATAGACATTCAGTATGGCATGGGAGCAATTTGCGACAAATAATTAATCTAAGCATTATTGTACACGAATGTAAAGACTAACCAAATGTGCGGTGACCTCATCGATGCAAGTCACTATATAATCACATGCATACATTTTATTGAACATGTCCTAGGTGTTATGCATCATATTGTAGTGTCTAAGGACAAACTCAGGCTGCACTACGTATCGAGTTCCACCAATATATTAACACCAATTCTAAAAATAAGACGAACTTACCGAATCCGTAATTGTTGAGGACATGTTTTTATTATAAAAGCTGTAGAAGTTGTTTAGCATAAACTTCTCTCTACTAAGATATTATAAGGGGAAACCGATTGCCGATTTCATGCCTACTATAGCCCGCGAATCCTATAGACTAGCATTGAAGCTGATAAGCCGAATATATGGAGCACATGTTTTAGGGGATAACCTTACGTTAGTTGGCTGTATTCGTTTGTATCGATTTCTTTGTCCTATAGATAGCACGAGATTCATATGTAATTCTTTACAGTTTCTAGGCCGGTTTGGCCTCCAAAATGTGGCCTAAAGGAATCCGATAGTACCTACCTTGGCGCTATTGCGCCTGTGGCGCACGGCTCACTTCGTAGCTATTTCTTGTAGTTCCTCAGGCCATCCCTCTCTAGACTTCTCCTGTTGGTCGCTAGCTAACGCTGGTACGCTGCACTTGGTCTTGAAACGTTATGGTGCGCTATAACAGTAGCATTCGTTTCGAATCGCCTATGGAACAGCGTGCAATAGCGTAAAACGCAACTGTGTACCACGAGGACAGCAACAGAGCGCCCCCACACGCCGAAAGGGAATGAGTGGAAAAAAAAAGAAAATACCGGCCGTTGATGATTGTGAGCCTGCTGACAAGCTCGGTACTCTTAAGTCGAAGTCAGAATAGCTTGCCTTGGTAAACTCGTCCTCTCTTATGTACGCGAAAGTGTGTGATGTATGTCATCATCACCAGCATGTTACGTGCAGAAAAATAGCAGATGAGCAAGTGAAAGAAGATGCGTGCTCTAGGATGATCCAAAGCTGGATGATCTAAGGTTCGACCAACTATAGTTGTACCGTACAATTCTAGAAACATATTTTTATAATCGACCCTAATTGGTAGGTGAAACTATAGTGCTATTGACATAATACAGTTTAATATAGATAATTATTATATGTTTAATAATTGCGTAATTCTCGGGTTTTTATCTTAAAATTTGCATATGGATAACAAAAGTATGGTTTGCTCACTTTCAAAAAAATCATCTACATCGTTGGTTAAACAATGCATTGCCACCAACCAGTGCGGTTTACTTCTTACGTTGCGTACCATATTCTTATGCATGCCGAGAACTGACGGCAGCTCGTTTGGCGCGCTGTTCCCCGCCGACACGAGCTGATCTTGGGTGAGACGTGTAGATTTTAGGCGTTTAGGAGTATAGGTTAGCGGCCGTGATCTTCACTGCGAAACCACTGCGGTTCTTTTTTACAGATCATAGACAAGCACGTAAACTTGTTCACACTAAGCAGAAGCAACTTCGCTGTGTGCTGATGTTAGACTTTTTGATTGACTGAAAAAAGGTTGCTGATACCTTTCAGTGGTTGATACAGTCAGCGCTTCAGTAAAACACAATAGTGAATGTTGCGGAGTGATTACCCCAGAAACAGTAACCCATACAACTGGACAACCTCCCGAAACAAACCCCAATTGATGCATGCTACTGTACCGTTTGGGTTGGCAACATGTGAAGAAAGCATTACGGACCATCCTGTAACACCGACAGCTCTGTTTCTTGTGACAAGCTTTACCTATTAAGAAAGGGCGGTCGAGTAGTTCACTGTCTGATTCGCTGATACCCTACTTATATCCATGAACCGTCCGAAATTTTTTTCCATTTCCTGAACTCATCGTGTTCCATAACTCTAGGTAAAACCTATTGCCATCTTATGGGCGAGGAAGTTTATTGAAAACTTTTCAAACCATTCGCAAAGAAATGGGTGAGAATTGACATGCTTGAGGGTTATACGGATGAAGCAAACTTTCAGTGCCATTTGATGTTAGTCAAATGTGCATAAAATTTCTCTTAAAATATTGCTTTACACATCAAAACAATTTGTACTTAATCCAAGTTACATAGCGGATTTGTGTAGACCGGCGCTGATTCAGAACTACCGTAAAAAACCAACAGTAAAATATAATAGGTATTCACAAATATTCTCCTAAAATAAGGCAAGACACAATCAAGAAAAGAAGATCTTTGCTTTGTGGTCTTCTTCATGTGTGAATTTTGCAAACTTCAGAGCGTTTTTTGCTCAGCATAGACACTGCGTTTTAGCTCAGCGATTTTCTCTAACCTTCATTCTTGAACGAGAACCTTTGAGTCTTTTGAAACTCTTTGAACAAACCTTTAGGTTAATCTTGGTTTCTCTGGTTAAGATGCAACATTTTGAGGATAAGTCTGCCATCGCTAAATTTTCCCACATACATATTGTACTTAGCCAAGAGATTCCTAATGGATGCAGAATAAATTGCCTGAGCTAGATCTCTATATCTCAGATTGTGCTAAATCGAAATTTTAATCAAATCATATACTACTTTTTAGTAAGATTCCTAAGACTCTTCCGTCAAGTGGAACCTTTTATTATAAGTATAATATCAAACCTGCCAATATTTGTCCATCGAGTGAAAAAAAAAAAGGTGTTCATAATGGAAAGTATTCCTTATGGTACCCTTTTTTCTACCAATAAAGTGTAGGATGTATACTGTTTGAACTTTTCACAACAGCAGACGAAATAGCATACGAGGAACGTATCGTAAGCATCCTAGTATCTGTGATTTCCTTCCTAAAGATGGTCTACATCATGCCTTCTCTAGCTATGCCAATCGTATAGATACACCGTAAGTCAATGGTGTTGCATGAATTATGAGTATCATCATAATCACAATCTTTATTGCACGATTTATTTATATATGCTGTTGTTGTTGTCTTCTACCCATTTTATAGTGCATTCTAAAGACATTCACCGATTTCATCTCATTTCAACTTCTGAGTCAATGGACTTCAGTTCTTCTAAAAAGAGTCCTTAAAAGCCAAGTTCAATAGAGACGTTAGTTCAGCGGTTTGCGTTTATTTCTTACAGTGTATTACTAATAATGTACGCTCGTTCTCATTAATCAAATACATCTCCGCCAGTAAAATACTGATTACCAAAAATAGGCTACGAAGGATGCCAACGGTCAAGATTCTTTTGCGTACCCTTCCCGAGACAGGTACCTTTTATGGTCACCTAGATTGTCAAGGCCCCTCCATACTTTTCACCAGTCTGTATATCTATTACACTTTTGAACCATCTATGTTCAACGAATGCGTGGTTGAAATTATTGTATGCTAATGAGCAAAACGGTCTTGTAAGGAAAATAACGAGAGTTTTCCCATACTGTAACAGTAGATCTACCGTAAGTTGTTACTAGGAGACAATTTGGTCAGACGTGGACTTCTTTCGTCTGCAAGAACCTTCCTCGTAACATCATACGGCCCACGCTCTTCGAATTATTTCTAAAGCGGCAGATTAGGAGCTACTGAGGTTGACACAGATATTAGGCCACTTTCCACACAAGTTCTTGGCTTAATAATAGAAAAAATTTCACATGTAGATGAACATACTTTGATTATGTTATTAAAATATTTCAGATACTCTGTTTACATTATAAACTCTACGGATAATTGTAGATCTGTTAAGGCCAGATCTGGTACATGAACGAATAGGAAAAAAAACCTCTATACTATTCATTTGTGTACGAAAGACGCAAGGAACAGAAAATCTCATTTTTATGGCTTGAAGCATACTGCTCTGACATTAGAAAAATGTGTAACTACATATTGCTATCTACGCTATTAATGATCCACATACTAATTTCAACTGAAAAATGAATTCTTATCTACCTTGCATGTATTATAAGAACCCATATAATTTTTTGCAACGCATTACAACTCAGCACTAGGGCCCTTAACAATAGCACAATACTATAAACATGAAAAATTAGAAAACTCATATCGTGCACACTTTTTGAAGGATACATCGCGTCCCGCAGTGGAACACGCAAGTAAAAATCATATTGTACATTTATCTTCAAGTTAAAGTTGTTAAGTAAGCTACCCATACGAATATGCATCAAGAAGTTGATGGAGATGTACAATTTATTAAAATTTAAAGCAGGACGAATATTCTCTATGTACGTTGAATTATCATACAATTTTCAATTACTTCACGATGGAAATTGTTATTTTCTATTCTTGCGCACGGATTTCGACACTCCTTCGATATTTTATGCCGTACAATAAGCTCAGCCGTACACTACGTTCGAACGTATAGAGCGCTAACATCTCCGAACGCAAAAACAATCTTGGGTCGCCGTATCACGGCGCCATCGAAGCCGCAATTGTCTCTTCCCGATTAGCAGCGATTCGCCGGGCCTCTCTGTGATTTCGGGTTCCCTTACATCTCTGGTCAAAGCTAAGCATTGCCCTCCATCCTAATATGGATGTGAAGGTAAAGATGATTCAAACAAAGATCAAGAATTAAAGCATTACGGCTGAAAGAATGACAACGTCTAAATGGAGGACAGAGTGAGAGAAAAGTAGCAACTTTCGGTGTTGTTCATTCTTCAAGACGATCAATGAGCGCTAAAACCTAGCAAGCATCCTTTCCTGTGCGTCTATTCGCGATAAACAGCGGCGGCACGGTACCTGATGATCTGATGATTTGTGCAGTGGGCACAAGCGGCACCCAACAGTGAACGCATATGGAGATGCTTCCTAACTAAAGTGATTCGGATAAATCAAGACGTAGCCAGACTGCACTAACGACCGCACTGAGCGTTTATTGTGCGATCCCCACCCTGTCATAAAATAACCAGGCTTGTGTGTTCTTTGTTATAGCTTTCCATTTAGGTTGGGCGTTGCCTGATCTCCGGTTGACGATATACCGAATGATAGCTGTGGAAGTTTTCATACATGAAAATATTAAAAATCTCATTACTTCAAAAAATCAATTCCTGGAACTGAAGAACCAGAAGATAGCCTGAAAGCAGCTCGATAGCTTGCTCAGTGATCGTTTGTTAGATCGTGCAATGGAAGACCTGGATCCGACAGAAGACGGTATGTCACAACTTTGGTTTCGAAGGTGCAAGAAACATATTCCAATTCAATAAAGTAGGTCACTTCGAAAGAGTAGACGATTCTTACTTTTCCAGGGGTTCAGTACTTTAATAGCAGGCGAAAGCCTTTTCTTCGGTCTCCAGTGTAGTTTCTCCATGAGCACACTCTCAAAATCAACCCTATTTGGGTACAGTATCGAGGATTTGCCCCTACTTGGGATCTAGCCGCAATAGGAATTGCTTGACGTATCTAGGGCTTCTTCAACAGGTCTACGAAACAGCTTGGTAACCATATAAGGAGCACATTTACATCATAGCCCTTGGTATTCATAGCTTTCGGTAATGATAATTTTTTCAACACCCAAATTTGAACCACTGATAGCCGCATACTTGTTTTGTTTACGGTTACCATGACAGAGCACTCAAAGAGATGCACGTTAACCATTCGGATGACCGCCCCCAGCAACAGACGCCGTTTATGGCTACGAGAATAAATAATCTTTTCAATATAACATTCAGGACCTATTTCTGTAGTAGATATAGACGGCAGAGAAAATCGGGGTAAGCTCAGCAACAGGAAGTTACGCAGAACTACTGGCAAGTCTGCACACGACCCCAAAAAGGCCTATGAAATAAATTAATTTCGCCCTTAAACGTACCGTAAAGGTAATATGATACATTTCTGCTGAATGTTCCCCAGTACTAGGACTTCTTTTTGTGACCAGGCCACAAACTCCTATTGGCTAATACTACCTGCTGCATGGTGGGATCCAGTCGAAGATTATGTCACTGATTTTAATTGAGATACTACTAGAAAATGAACATTTTGTTTGTAGGTAGCACAACATATTATCTATTGTGACACCATATACTTCTTCGATATTCCGGTAGATTCTTTGAAAGGCGGTCATCTCTTTTTCTATCACAATCTATCAGCGTATGTTGAATCTATCTTCATATATCATTTAACGTTTATTGTTTTTCTACTAGATTAATTGTTTGTTAAAAAGCTGATTTGCGTATTGTTTTTCGCTAAACAAGGATAGTCTGAAAAACTTCCAGCCTCAGCAACAAAATGACACTATTGGTAAAAAATGTTGAAATACAAAGGCGGCATTTTTAAAAAAATATTTTTGAAAAAAATAATCGTAAAGCCGTCTGTAGATTATTGCATTTGAAAGCCAATACATGTGGGTAGCAGCTTAATTAGCGATGAACATATGGTACAACTGAAAATTACATCGGAAAAGTTCACCAAACGGTAGATGACTACCAAATTAGGTTTAGAGGAACCGTTCAGGCTGCGAGCATTTTGAATGAATGGGTTTGTCATATACCTTCTGAAGGTGTAAATATGAAAAAAACTAATTGCGCATCGGGTGCCGCGTTTTTACATTTAGGATCAAATACACGACAGACTGAGCATACCCAAAGCCTTGCTAAACTAGATTAAAGTTTTGCCGTTAATAACCATAGGTAATACATGTATGCTAGCAAACGCGTATGTACTAACCAGAATATTATGTTGACAAATAAAAAAGCGTTTAAGTCTTTTCTGTGTTAGGTTAAAAACGTTCCAGGCCGCCTTTGTCAATAATTGGCGGTTCATGGCCACAAACTGCACCAAGCTTAAGGCATCAGATATAGGCTTTGACTTGGCTTGATCTATGCCGCCTAATAAATTTGCTCCTTTTGTTTGAATATTTCACTATTGGCTATTTGTGATAACTATCGAAATATAATTTTCTGGCTTGGTTTGGATTCAAGTGGAAGTGGAGTTATACCATTGCCTATTGATGAAGTTTTTGATAGGGATGAATGTTTTAAAGCTCTGCAACAATATAATGCGTCGTATTTTTTTGGTTTGTTTCTAAACACAGACGAGTTCTGGGAAAGTAACAGTTCGCATTGGTGTGGATGGTCATGTCGCTACACGGTCGCTCCTGCTTTAGCCGTTGGAGCTGTCGTAAACGCAGCCCTAGCTTGCGTACTCGCCCGCCGAAAGCTTCCCCTTTCTGCAAACGAACTATTTATGCTCGCTATCGTACTCAACGAACTTGCCTATACGGTGGCCTTCCTCTGCGACTATTATCTCTTTGGCCAATTCATGCAGACGTACAGTATGTCCACATGCTATACATTTTATTAACTCACAACTTGCTTGTGCTATATATGTATATATGTGTTTGTATACATAGTAAGGCACCGAGATCTGGTCGGCTGTCCGTTGTAACCTCGTTCCGCCGCTGAAAAAAGCCTATTCTATCTAGAGCAAAAAAGTGAATCTGTCGTGGTGGAAAGAACGCATAGTCTTTGCATAATAAGCTACTATTCCATCCTCTCACTTTCCACGTATCCTTCAAAAACTATCTTTCATCCCGAAATCGACAATCTATTGCTCGTTTTCGTGAGGTTTCTGAAAGATCCAAGAAAAGATTTGCATGGGGCAAATCAGTAAATCTTCTATAGATTTTATAAACTTGGAAGATTTCATTTTCCAAAAATTTCCTGCATTTTTTTTTAATATAACATGTATTTGAGCAACACTTTTCACAAGTTTCCACCTAGTACCTTGCGAGTTTATGGCTACTGTGAAAATGTCATTTACGGATTGAGAAACAAACATTATGAAAATTATCAGTGAATGTTTTAGGTTCCAAACTGAAGCTGCGACCGCGGTGAGTGGTGTTATATTGAATAAGCGTCACCGTCACGGATTGCAGCTCCAGCACATATGACAATGCTGTTTACCTGTTTGCTGAAATACCTGTTTTGAGTTAAATACGACTTTATAAACGAAGCATAAAAAAATCCTGTTTTAGGTGTCCCATTCTATATATATATATATATATATATATATATATGTATACATACATACGACTATCAAGGTAAAATCAGACTAAAATAACATGGTGCTGCTGTATTACTAAAATAATTATTTTACAATAACAAATTAATTATATATGAATTAACATTTTAGCACAAAAAAAAGGTGAATAACAGGACTGCTGATTTTTAAAAATATAATCTTTAGAATATATCAACTACATGAGGGTTAATTTATCACTCACCTTTTTTTTTTTTGTAATCAATAAACCCATAATTCTGAGCTTGAAATAACGGGGTCGGAAGGGGTAAAGGGTTTCAAGAAATCGAAGGTGTTGCGTTACCTAGACAACTAAACAAGAAAAAGTGTCTTCATGAATCTTTTAAACTTGAAATACCAGTAGTAAAGCAAGAACGCTTGGTTTTTGTCCCCTCACTGTAGAGGGATATCTCTTAGCTTTCATTTATTATATATAGGATAGTATTTCATGTTATGCTTGATTAAGTTCTTCATAAGATTCAAGAATAGGTAATGGCTACATCTTGTTGTATTGTTTTTGCACGCATCGTGTGACGCGAGCCCAGGTGGCCTGCACGATCCGATTTGGTTTTGTCGGCTTCGTTTCCTAATCTATGAGTCGTCGAAGGTAGCGTCACTCGGATTACCGGCGCTGTTCGCTCTGCACGAGGCAGTTACGCATCAGCGTTCCGCCTCGACGTCTCCATTGGTCGCCTTTCTGTTCCGGCATCGAGTGTCACTTGTTGTCGATTTTATTATAATATGCGCTGTGCTTGCAACACCTATCTTCTTCGTACTCGGTGCGTATTCCTAGAAAGTCAACGAACACTATCTTTATACGTGTAATTAAGTGCTTCTGAGTGATTGTTAAATTAGATCTCTGTATTTAGAAAACTTTTCTAAGTCACGATCACCTTACGTTAATTGAACGTTTTACTATAATTTGAATTAGTTTCGTTTAGTGTTGTATGTCATGCCTTAATCAGATCAATATTTTTAACCGTCCGTTGTTTAACCAGGGTCGTACAACTAGGTTGATCATATATCGTTTCAACGTATAGTTACGTTCTCACATTGCCCACATAGTGGGTACCTAGATTAACAAATATTTTTCTCCTATATATACTAGTTTTTTCTTAATATTTTGCGTTTTTTATAGCTTTCCATAATATGACTAAATACATGTAGCCTGTACGAATTCAATAATAAAAATAAGTCTTTTTGTTGTTATTATTATTATTATATAAGAAATTTATTTAATGCTCGAGAATGAACAGCTCCTCCATGAAGCGGTAGAAATATGTACACACTCTCTGCGACGACCGTTGAAATTACACTAAACGTTCTCGTTTCGGAACAGTCTTGTTCCCTGTAATTTTGACATGTCAACCAGCCGACCCTTATTCTATTCCAGCTTTTGTTCCGACTGCTACAAGTATGTAGGGCAGTCCTGACGTATTTTATTGAAGCTTCAATGAAGATTTGATTACAGCGGGGTAGAAATAATCAAACTAGGTCCCTTGTAGAAGTAATTTCTACCAGATAATGTATTAGAGTGTTCTCTGCGTATGCATTTCTTACGAGAGGAAAAAAGTTTGGCATTACGATTATTACATAAAGCTGAGCTGGCAAATTGAAATACAGCTCCGTAAAAGTAAAGATAGAGATGCGCTTTTATTATTTCAAATGTATCCCCAGTTAGTTTCACTCAACACGCAGTAGAACGCTCGAAGCTTTGTTACCTAGTCACCGACAACGATTCTACGGCCTGCCCTGGCGAACCTGCAAGCTTTGCCGCTCGGCATTGGCAGACACAAACTGTTACCTAACTACCGGCTTATACTGTCAACAGGTCAGCGGCATCCTTCAGAAAGTTGCTCTTTTTTGTTCTTCAAAGCAGAGGAAAGGGCGATCTCTATTATTGGGATGATCTGCACTAAGATTCGTTTTGGTCTTCTGATCGTCTCACTTCTCACCCTCTGGATCGTTGCTATCTACCTTTACGTCAAGGTATATTCAATTTCAATTCCTTTCTTAAAATGTCACCATTGAACTGGATGAAAAGTCAAGAAATAGACGCACGAGATAATGTCGATGAACGACATTTATTAGCCGATCATTGTCTCGTCATGCGTTAACGCATCTGGAGCTCAATCTCGACATATTTTAAAAAAACAATTTTTTAAACGGTCAGTACTAAAGAAATACTTTGATTGGCCACATTTAGGCAACGATATCGGCATCGGTTCCTGCGCGTCTCATAAGTTTCTGGTCTGAACAGAAACTTGTCAACTGTCTCACCATCAAGAATACACTTTTTGTCATGCCATTTGCCGTACGTTTTTTTATCGCATTATAATTTATCTTGTGCTGTTGACATAACAATGCAGCTTATGCTTATATTACAAAGGCATTGTCAATAAACATTTTATTATTATTTTTTAGTCGAAACGAATATATATATCCAAAGGAGGAAGTTGCCTTTATTTTGACTATTTTCTTTTGATCTCTGAGCGTCTATTTCAAAAGCAAGGTAAACTGATACTTAATTAGAAGTCTCATTTTATTAATTTCAATACGTTTCCTAATGAAATTATGTACTCCTATATTCTGTGGCAGTACTTTTTTAATTCGAGCACATCATAGCCTATGTGCGTATAGACTAGCGTAGGGACAGGACTGACTAACCGGCTAGAATCAGCTCTAGGCAATGCACGAGTATTTCTTTCGAGCCTTTTTATCATGTATGACACGCTTGTGTAAAAAAAACGTCGATAGGTAGAAAGTAGGTAACTGCTTATCCCGAAACAGTTGTTTTTTGTCAGATTTCAACAAGTACGTTTACGTTTTGTCAACAGTGAGCGAACAACGGACGAGTGTACTTTGTTATTGCGATTTCGATCGTAGCCCTATCCTCATTAAGGATCTCCAGTAGCCGTTGTTGACAGCATTCAACGATTGCCTTTAGTTCTAATGTTTACAATATGCAGCATTCTTCATATCACGCCAAGTAGAAATAAAATTGTCGTAGATGACAGACTCTTCTTTGAGTTCTGTTTGTCAATGATTCTGTTAACACTTTTACGTAGACAAACAGCTGGCGGAACTTTATTCAGGCGTACTAACTACTTAGTAGTCACAGAGCTGTCTATATGTGGCCAGCCAATTATATACCACTCCCTGATAACTAACGCTTTCTAGCTTGACATTATAATGTTACCTTTTTTTGTACGTTTTACACCAGGTAATGATTGAAATACGGATGTTGCATATTAATGTTCCTTATTGGGTGGAGGACATTTGTGATATGGCTCTCTTGCTAAACTTCATCGCAAGTGCCCCAATTTTCCTGATTATTCAGCCCGAGTTGAGGTTTTGGTGCAAATGGCGATGCTGCGCGTGTGCCCCAATCAGTAGGGCTTTGACAAATCTAGCAACTGGCAGTCGCAGAAAACTGTACCAGGATCAACAGCAGCAGCAGCAGCAGCAGCAACCGACTGCCGGAAACGAGGTAGAACGTGCCAACATTTGAGGCTCTATTGTAGTAAAATACTAGGACAAGCAGGAATCGTGCTCGACCTAGACCAGCTGCGACTTTGGCCAGCTTCATATGGGAATGACAAATCAATTGCGCATCTATATCAATCTTCAAAAGAACTTTAAAAAGACTAATAAAGGATCAACAACGCGCAGTATTCATCTTTTGTATATATCTATATATTGTAGAAGGCTTGAAGCGCTATTAGTGAAATATTTTTCTATTTTCAATCTTAATAACAACTTGGTTCCTATCGTTCAGAAGCTTTTATTTGTCGTAAATGAGGATGTCGAGTGATCGATCGAATGGAAAAATCAGCAAAAACGTTGTGTTTAGTTTCGACTAAAGCTTTTAGTCTGTTCAATGGCATTGGAGCAGACGATAAGTTGTCATGGCAGTGATAGTGTGTATTCGTTGTGGTAGCCGATGATTGCTTTACAATCTACAGTTGTCCACAGGTCACGTACGAATTCTAGTCGTCGGTTTCCTTACGGTCCTTACGGTATATGTGCGTGTGCGCGTGTACCGATCCAATCACTTGCATTGTACTGTTTACCCTGTTGGGCATAGACGTACGAGCCAAGGTTTTTCTTGTCGCTGCCTGACTCTCGATGGTCTCTTGCCCTAAACGGCCATGCGCAAAACTAAAAAATTATAATATGAAGCTTTGTCCTGAAGGTCGTACCGAAGGTAACAAATGATGCGGAAATTAATAGCAAGCATACGTGACGGGCGGTGGGTGCCGGCCAACGTTTGCGAATGTCCTCAATAACGTAATAGCGTAAATCTTAAATTAGAAAATATACGAATTTATTAGTATGGGCTACCTGGACAAGTATGCATGTAGGACAATATAGAACAAATTGACTGCATATAAATATCTGTCATTCTGTAAGCGATACGTTTATGTTTGGAACGCCATTTTTCATCATTAAAAATACCCGGCTCCTTGCTCATCCTGACAAACGATAAAGAAGCGTGCAAGCTTTTCGAGATTAATGGTAGGTGGTTCGTAGATTGCTACAAAATCATCGGCACATTTCAAATTCATAAAGTGTGTCTTTTGGCGAAGGCTTAGAACATAGATCTTCCTTCTGTAGCTGTCCGTTTTTATAGATATATTGGTTTGAAGAACAAAATATCAACTTAATTATTAGTTGACTGCTTATTTTGTACACGAGCATCGTTGGACTTGTATTAGACTTGAAGCTGTAGTCGCTGGGAGCAGTCAGCTAATTTTTGGGCAATGTACACCTTCGAAGCACAGCTATAACTAAAAATACTGGTTTGAGTAAAATGGCTGAACGGATTGTGTAAGGCGTGAGGGAGCTATAAAGTAACGGCTCTATAAGTCTGACTGTATGACTGGTTCCTCATCAATGTTTTTCAAAGGCCAAAGGAAACGTTGATCCGCTAAAGGTCACGACGTCGGTGACGTGACTAGAGTGCCACCCTGTGGAATCTGACAATGGAGGCGAAAATGCTGAACGTCCTCTGTTGTTAGCCTTGAGGTTGCCTAGACCGATGTCCTGTTTTACCGCAGCTCGCGCTCAATGAACCTGTCTCCATTGTCCCGACAAAGTTCGTATCCATTTTCATTGACTGATTGAAGCTTCCACGAAAAAGAAGATGCTTGCTTCAGGCTTACGATTAAAAAAATATGTGATTCTTTGATTAAAATGGGTTTTATTGAAGGTAGGTCAATCCCCGGACCAACACGCAAGAAGAAATAAAAAGGACCGATACAGATTTATAGATACATAATAGAGGGGTACTGTATCATTTGAGGTGTGAGAGAATAGAGGTAGTCTAGGAGAAACGCGATCGGTAAAAAGGTTACCAAAAGGAATTGCGGTAACATAAGACGAGACACGTTAGAATAGTAAAAAGGGATAAGCGAGGTTTAGCCCATATCATAACACTAATCATAGTAATATTGGAAGCAACTTCTCTTAGAGAGCAGTGAACGAACACTCGGTATACTGGAGAGAGCCAGTCTCGAGCCGTTAGCAACAGATCGGTTTCTACTGCTTCGAATTATCATTGCGATACTATCAGTAAAAGCTCTGATAGAACAGCGAAGCTATGAATAACAGCAAGTTCCTAAAGAACACAGATGTCGTGGGAACAACCCTGATCTCTGCAACGCTGAACAAGTGCAAGAAGGTAAACAGAAATTCCAACGAGAAAATACGTTGACTTGGATGAGCCTTTACGGCTACAAAAACCGTAAAACCAGCAACTGGTGCCGTCAGCGAATTTAGGATCAGCGAAAGCAGAACTCCGCAAGCACCATGACAGATGCATTTCTTGTCCTTTAAAGCATGACTTGCATTATATCAAATTGTACTCTTACGTGCAACTAATTAAAATGCTTAACTATAATCTATAACTAGTTGTTTGATTATACATACATCTAGAAGAGGTTTTGACAGAATTCATCTGGGAATGGAGAAGTTATGAGTGCACGCAACTTCTTTTGGGTAATTGAGAAAAGAGTTTCGTACGAGCACATTCGGTGATCAACAAAGGTCTCGCCCTCGCTAAACGTAGTCAGGTGAAATGTCTGATTAGTCACTATAGAATGCACCATTAAAAGCTGCTATCCCTAAGGCTAACGTGATGTTGTCCATCGAAAAAGATGGAGAATATCAGCGATGGAGCCAATACACCGAGTAGCAGGACTGCAATTTCAGATATTTCCGCTGGTTTCATGAGTTCAATGTACCAGCAACATTCAATACTTACTCACTTGCCCACAGGGCCCGTCCCAAAAGTTCTGTCCTGGATCCCGATCGGGGATGAGTAATAGCTCTCTCTTTAATTTTTTTTGTAATGCATTGGCGATATTTGGCTATTTAGTATTATAGGTAAAACGACTTGATGAAGTAAAAAGCTAAAAAAAAAACAAGCATTGAAAAGAAACACGAAGTACTCCGAAACGGTCACACGCATACAGATGCGCAATGAAATATAAATAATACAATTGCGATTGTTATAAACCTCTCCAAATATTCTTCACCGTACGAAGCTTATCTCTAAAACATATGCTATTGCTTCCGAACAAATAAATATCACTAAAAAAGGAACAATTTATGTACAACGAGAATTTTGGTAATATCGTTTTCTCAAGTACACTGAGTATTTTTTCACAGCAATCGATCGCAAAGCGTTTGCTGACAAATAAACCTGCGCGAATAAATAAAAATATATAGGACCAGTTTTTCTTTACTAGTATCCATATAAACAAAGGGCTGTACGTAGTTGTTGGTCAGCCTTGCCAAGCTTGTAATGCCGTCAATTCTTCTCCGACGTCTGTACCTTTAAAAAATCAACTCTGCCCTTAAAAACCCACGACTTTTTTGGTAAAGTTTGCACTTTATATATGCAGCCACGATGAGATGAAAAAGAATCACTCTATTTTTTTTCTAGAAGTTGACTGTAAGTTCAACTTCCAGAAGTTAAATTGCCTGGATGCGTTCACTCAAAACCATTCTCACCATACAGAAGCTCGTTGTAAACAGGCTTGCAGGTATGGTGGGACAAAATACTCAATTTGTGCAACTTAAACCAAGATTATTATCTTGTTTTTTAGCATTAGATGAAGCGTTTAGTTAGCTTAAATAGGCAATGTATAGCATTTCGGGTGACAAGACGGCTATAAAAGAAGCATCGACGAAACACAGCATAACGGAAAGCCCACAGCAGATTAAAACAGTGGTAATCGGTGCCGGTGCCGCCGCCGCCGCCGCCGAAAAGTGCATTTCTGATTATCTTTCTACTTCGATGAGCTTGTTAAAGAATTAAACATTAAACAAATTGCTACGAAGACTTCAACTCGTTTAAAAACGAAGCAAGGGGTCGTCTCTGATGGTTTTCTGGCTCGATAATGTTTATTATCGATACAAAGAGTCACTGCAATGATAATTGCTGGTTTGTTCACGATTCAGAGGATGCGTCAAAGGGTAAAATCAAATATTTGGCCAATATTCGTATCCTTTTGAGCGCTAAACATGCAACGAGAAAATATATCCGCTTGTTCTACGAGGGGCGCACCGCAAAGAATGAAGTATTTGAAAAAATGTCATGTCAACGCATGACGTTTTTCCGTCCAACAGGATAGTGCACCGTCCCATTCTGATCGTTTAGCGTAAGACAGTCTGATAATCTGAGCATATTTTATAAGGAGCGCATACGGTCGTCATGCAGCCTATATTCAAACCCGTTCGATCAAGGCGTTATTGAGTGAGCGTCTTCGATCTTGACTTAGCAACGTCAACGCGCTATGGAGGAGGCGTTTGGAAAATTGCAAAAAGAACCGAATTGGAACTGCAGTCAAAATGACCGAAGGCTACTCGTCCGTGAATCATAACACACATTTTGAACCAACATGTATATTGATCCATAAATACTACCTAGTGAAAACAATAATATAAAATTTAAAAAAAAAAACATAGTCGTAATGGCACCTGTGGTAAGTTTCATTATGTTATTAAAGAGATCGATGAAAGCCTAACGGGTTGTGAAACTTGTATCTTAATTTCAGTGTGTAAAGGAATTTTATTATAAATAGAACATGCATTTATTAAATCTGAACAAAGTTCTTCCTTAATTTGGATGAGATGTAAAACAATAAATCTTTTAATCTCCTATATCATGACCGACAGCGTTCCAGGGTAGCGTCGTAATATTGTGTACACATTAAAAAAATGTTACTTGGACTACTTCGTAATTAAATTTCATATTAAACTCTATTGATAGGTGGAGCGGTAACTTGTAACGTGAAGTAGTGTTACAAGTTAACTGTATAATCAGTAATAATATCGAAAAATGAAGGCTTTGTTTTATAGTCGTATAAATTACACTGTTTTTTTCTGGTGTTTAAATTTTACTGTAGATCAAGCAACTACAAGCAAGAAAAAGACGTATCTCACTTACATCGATTAATTTTTATCATGGGAGAACATAGCCAGTTTCTTTGTATCATAAGGCTCTTTCTCAAGTGCAGATCGGAAAAGTTAAGATATATTGTAAGTTGGATATTTACGGTATTGAATTTACTAACGCCCATTTTTCATGACATATACGTGACCGTATCGGCGATGCAATATATATATATGCGGAGAACTTTTTTACTCGGATAAAACAGAATCA